ATCAGGGAACTGGGTAATTGGATATGGAGAATCCTTCTTCAAAGTTGTCAGTTCAAATCGTGCAGCCCAGTTATGATGGGAAGTTACTAAGATCTGAAGATAGTCTGTTGGCCTCTGTGAGATATATTAAGTAGTCAAGCTCCACTCCCCAAAGACAACTGTCCGGGGGGGGGGGACCCACATTGCTACAACCATTATTGATTCTCAGACTTATTTTCTAAAGATAATTATACCTAAAATTTAGATAATGTATTAAGAAAAATTACTCTGGGCATTTACAAAGTAGGAAATAGTCTCAATTGCCCAAGGTATATATTAAAGGTGAGGCACAAACATTTCTTTTTGGTGTTAAACAGCTTCTAGTTTAACTGTGTTCTCCAGTCAGTTCTCCGGTACTGAAAATGACGGTCAAAATGGAAAATCCTGGAGCGGTGACATTTATTAGGTCATTATTACTAAAACATGCTATTTTGGAATGCTCACCAAGTTAAAAGGGAAAACAAAATTTAAATAAAATACATTTTCAATAAATTAAAACATTCTCACCTAGGATGTCAGAGTAGGAAGTTCTAGGCCAGCATATCCCTACTGCTGGGCAAATACGGTAATTTTCTTGAAGAAAAGGTTTGAAGAAATTGAGAAGAACTAAAATCTAATCCCACAGCTGCAAACTGAAGTTGTACAGTTGATTATCTCACCACAGTTCAATTTTATGTTACTGTACGCTTAACTACCCCTTCATGGATTGCTGTTTTGTTGTGGCAAAGGGGCATGATACGCTTAACTACCCCTTCATGGATTGCTGCTTTGTTGTGGCAAAGGGGCATGAGTAATTCAGAGAAGCTATGGGCTATGTCGTGCAGGGACACCCAAATTCATAGTGGAGAATTCTGACTAAATGCGATCCACCTGGAGCAGGAACTGGCAAGCCACTCCAGTATCTTTGCCAAGAAAACTCCATGGACAGAAAGAAAAGGCTAAAAGAGATGATGCTGGAAGATGAGCCCCTCAGGTCGGAAGACATCCAACATGCTACTGAGAAAGAATGGAGGACAAGTACAAGTAGCTCCAGAGCTAATGAAGTGGTTGGGCCAAAGTCGAAAGGACGCTCAGCTGCGGACCCACCTGGAAGTGAAAGGAAATTCCGATGCTGCAAAGAAAAATACTGCACAGGAACCTGGAATGTAAGATCTATGAACCTTGGTAAGCTGGATGTGGTCAAACAGGAGATGGCAAGGATAAACACTGACATCCTGGGCATCAGTGAACTTAAATGGAGGGAATGGGCGAATTCAATTCAAATGATTATCATATCTACTATTGTGGACAAGAATCCTGTAAAAGAAATGGAGTAGTCCTCATAGTCAACAAAAGAGTGGGAAAAATATATTGAAATACAATCTCAAAAATGATAGAATGATTTCAATACGAATCCAGGGCAGACCTTTCAACATCACAGTAATCCAAGTTTATGCACCAACCACCAATGCTGAAGAGGCTGAAAT